GAACGCTAGAGCTGTAATAACGGCGAAGCGAATGGTCCGCGACAGCCGCGTGCGGCGAACCGATTACCCAAAATCGTTCCTAACGCCCGTCTCCCCCTTTTTGGAATGGCCACTTTCCCTTCTAAATATCCCTTACAGTATCCGATTGCAAGATAACAAAGGGACTAATATTTTGCAAGGAGACTTGGAATCAGTTGACCTTAATCCCAACGAAGCTTTGGTTGAAAAAAATGCCGTCAATATGCCAGAAAACAACGATGTCAAAATACCCACTTCCATGTGGGACAAACGCTGAAGATGATGAAGAAGGTCCAGAGAGGCTTGGATGTTAATTTTGCTGATTACTGACCAGTGAACGTAACGGGTTACGGACCGGATGCTGTAATGTCAAGTGACGCAGATGCATGGTCTCTGAAATGATGTCTGCCCCCATCAGCCAACCACCCAAGCCTTCCATCTCTCCAATGCTGGATGGTTGATACCAAACGCGTAAGAGTGAGCAACAGCAATTACCTCTATATCGAGTAGCCCTTGAAAGTCATTTTATATGTATACAAACACATTCAAACGCCGCCACGGTTCTGGAAGGAAGTCGAATGCGTCACAGACGGGACTGATCCACTCCGAACTATGTAGACTTTTTCAAAGAATCCAGATTCTTTCCATACTAATACAAAAATTTTTCTTAATTCCAGGGATAAGCGTGCATTTGCAAAAGGTATAGAAGAGCTGGAAGTCCCTGCAAGACCACTCGCTAGCGTAAGTATTTTCGAAACTTTCTTTGAAAGAATCTAAAAATTTTTATTGAAGGAACCACCTCCAAGTATGTCAGTGATGATTTGCCAAGTATGAAAATATTAGTGATCGGCACCAATTGGTGATTTCCTTCGATTAGCCAAAATCTCAGCCTCGTCGGGAGGGAAAAGAGCCCAATTCGAGCAAGCGTTCCGGGATACTGGGTTTTATAAATTTTGTCAAAGTTAGCGAAAATTCATGTTCACATCTGCCAAGGAAGAAATACTGGAGAAAGTAAGTAAGCGGAAAATGGGGAAAAGAAGTTGGTCTCCTCGAGGAAAAACCATTCAGTCGAAAATTAAGGGAAATCAGACAAGAAACCCAAATGACCGTTGAGAATGGGGACTAATTTGAGCCTAGTGACTGGATGGCAACATTTGCCCCATACCCCCTCAATGTGTAAGATTATTAGGTCACAGCAGATTTTGAAGACTTTGGCCTGGCTCTATAGTTACTGCTCTCCAGTACTTGAAAAAACATCTGTTCAAGTAAGCAGTTATTTCTGTATTACAGACATTACGATCTTCCCGATCAGCTGAGACATTGGAAGGACCCAAGCGAAAGAAGGCAGCTGGTCGAGCAGCAAGTGTCAATCTGGACTATGTGTAAAGCTCAGTTCGGCTGCTTATCTCTGGACTGACCACAACCACAACTGCATGAAATGATAACGTAGAGTGACCCTTACTCGATTGCAGTTCAGTTGATGGTGGAAGCACGACGAACGCTGCCGGACTTCAAGATCAATCCCATCATACTAGTACCCGGCTATTCTTACTGAATGTTCATGGCACATGAATAAATTGTTTACAGTATTCTTGACGATAGTTCCGACATCCTGGCGTTCTCGAAGGGAGTTTGCCGTTATCTCGCACGCGTACACACACACATGCTGTTTATCAGAACGACAGGCGCGTTCCCCGTGCTGCCAATTCGAACCCAACGCAGCAGATAGTTGACCCCCCACGTCAGTTCCTGCACCAGCATCTACTTCTTTTGATCGGCTTGTGGGTTACATTCCTGTGTGTAGAGTTCTCGTTGTAAGGGCCGTACAAATTTAGTGATTCTTCCTTCCTGTACTTGTGATTCTACTGACAATTTAAGATGTTCGGTTTGCTTGTCTCAGCTTTTACGGGGGCCGATAGAATTGCTCTACAAACGATCGGTATCATTGCATGACTGGAAAGACCAGGAAATCGTTTATTCTCTGATGCCGCTATTTTTCTCCTCCTTCGAGACTTCGAACGAGCTCACTATATGCGTACTTTTCATGTTCCTTTTTTACCTTGGACTTGAAATTGGACTACTTTCTAGTCTTCAGAGACTTATTGAGGCCACTTCAATTCACTAAGGAGCTAGTCCAGAGCTTGATAACGATAAAGTCTTTCAGCATCGCATAAATTTTTTCTTCGGATGACCTCCGCATCCGACTTCCAATCAAAATCGTGGAGGCGTTTTGAATGCTTGTGTTGCCCTTACAATAATTTGTAAGCTAGTCGATATATAAGCCAGCGATCTCACTTTCCCATACAAGTCTAGTACCAGTTAATCGATCCGGGAGTAGAGAGGGTTTTGTGGGATCGTATCAGTCCAAGATTTGTTTTTGGGTCATGCGGGTGATAGTGCGCCTCTTGGCATTACAAGCCCCCTTCACAATTAAAAGATGCCCATAAAAAATTTACGAAAAAATCCAAATAATCCGTACTTGCTCAGAGGCATTTATTCGTTTTGCTCAACCAATACGTTCAGAATTGCCTTCACTACTCAATCCCGACAGAACCAGTAGCCTAGACCTTTTCATCTACCCATGATATATGAACACTACGGACGTGATAGGTAAGAACTACTGCCAGGGCCTTACAATGAAATCTGTAGCACGCCCGGTCTCTTTTCAGATAAACGCGACCTCCCCGTGCTCCATTTTCACTGCCTCTTTTTACAGGTAATGGTCGAACGTTGGTGTTTTTTGAGTAACTGATGAGCTAGGTCTCGCTGATCCATTCAATCCAGCACGTACTGTGGGCGAAACCAACTAAGTCGCAATCAATTTCGCTAATCGACTTTCCGTCCACCTGAGAATCGTCTGCCCACTTTACCCCTTCTCCAGTTATGGGTTACAAGTGGACTTGGAGCAAAATTTCGAAGTCAAGTCAAAGTTAGAGACCAACGTAGCAGTTGGGGAAAAGGATCAGAAGGAGGGGACGGTCGAAAATTGAGCTTCAGAGGAGTAAATACGACAGCATCATAAAACATAAATAAGTAGTAAACATATGATTATCACCATAATTCAGAAGCAGGGTGCTGCTTTCCTTCATCTCCACGAACAGGAAAATAGTCAGACTCGCAAAATGCTCCTAAATTGACACCTCAGCCTTTGAAATCGCTCTCTTCCTCCCCCACCGCCCCTTCCATCCTCCCACCTTCTCCCAGAAAAAAAAGAAAGAATCAGTGAGGACACTGTCACAGCTATATTTTGTATTGTGTTTTTCTTTTCCTA